CATCGGATTTCCCGCTTCTTGCTCGGTTGAGTGTGGTTTAATGCTGCTTGCGTTTTGATCATCTGTATCCATGGTTGTGGTATTAGAGGTAACAATGGGACGAGCATTCTCGGCCACTAAGGACGCGATACGTTTGGAGTCACGAATGTCTTTCAGCATCACCTGGAATGAAGATGTGAAGAAAAAAATCAAACTAAGCAAATGAACCGAAAGAGAGGAGGTACGTTCAGATAACAGCACTATAAGCCATTTATCTCTCTAACAAATACGAAAAATCAACCAGCAAGTGTACTTTTTATTAAGTGAAACGGTAATATCATCACTTCTCATGTTATCATCAACAGTCTTTAAATATAACCACACGTGTCCCTTTGTTTGACAACATAAACACATTCATCTTTTCAGTCATCCATCGGTAAATTTGAGCCAACGCTGTTCCATATTTTGCATCAACCTACATTCAACAGCACATTGGATCAGTCACACGATTTTAAGGTTTTGGAAAGCCCACAGACAACAGCCACTGAGATGATCAAGGAACTGTACTTCGGTACCTATGTCGAGAGACTACAATCATTGGGATTCGAGTAGAATTTATTTTAGTGTATAAAATACTAGAGAGCCGCAACCAGATCTGCCGTTAACTGCTCAAGTTGCCGCCAACCACCCACAGTAAGGAAAACCATTTAAGCTTAGTTTCACTTTATACAGCCATTACCCTTGCCTTTTCACGGGGCGGTTTGGTTTCTGGCTTTTGACTACCCATTCGGAAGGAGTGTCTAAAAATGATCCATTCACTCCTTTGTTTTCAGAATGTGTGCCAGTTGGAATTTCGTACCATCCCACGTTATCTGTGCATGTGCAATTGAGTAGTTCAAGCAGAGCCTTGATTATTCATCGGGTGTCTCACATTATATCATTCACAAAAGTATGTAGAGAAATGGAATCATAAGATGTTTCTCATTCAGGAGACTATGCACAGTATTTTTCATTGGCCAAATAATCCATTCAGTAACCATGGGATAAGTTGGCGGGGCAACCGGAAAACCAATGCGGAGGTTGGGTGCAGAGTTATAGGTAATCGCGGTCGTTCACTGGAACAGATGGTCGACCTCCATACATTACGGTGATTGAGACATGTATTGCGCAAGATAACAAATAGTTTGTCACGGCGAGAGATGTTTTTCGAAGTAGGAATCGGCTGGAAAAAGGTCAAGGGTGGTCAAACTTAAATCTGGCATGAGGGTATGAAAACCCTAGCCAAAACACTGGGTCACATAGGCCCCGTTAGACTCCCTGGATAAGATATCATGGTCAACGGTGGTTAGAGACACTGAGTGATATGGCTGGGTGTCGCAAACGGTGGCGCTCGTGCATCCAATCATTATTCCTCTATCATTATTCTATGTGAATTCTCCATCTTCCGCTTGAATTTGCTTTCAACATTCCCATTTTCCATCTTCATCGAAATGGGGTACCAAAAGATAGCAACTACATCGGGCGCACGAAAGTGAATGCCTAATGGTTGTAAAAAGCGAACTCAACTGAGTAATGGCTCATGAAAACTTTGGTATTACCTACGTTGCAACACTTTACAGAACTACGAGGGTGGACTGAGCAGAGCGCAAACAGCACACTTCATTTCTTAACGAAGCTTGACAACATCAACATTAACAGATAATAAAATGTTTCGAAATTCGTTTACCTCAGATTTTTGCGATAACTTTTATGTGACTGGTCTACAGTGCCAGGATTAAGGTTCGTGCGTTTAGGCTAAGGATCTGCCGAATAAGGCTAAAGAATTGCGGGGTTGGGCTTAATTCATGTGGGGTAGGGATCACAATTTATGCGTCGACATTAACTTCGGGTTCTGGTCAAAGATTGATGGGAATGTGTGATCCAGACCGACGATTTGCTTATTCCAATTAGATTTTAAACATGTGCGGTTTGAGTGAAGCCAAAATATCAGGCGCGAAGTTTATATCGTCACTTATGAAAGTGGAACAACACACACAGGTTAGTAAACACTTGCTATACATACAATCCACGGAAGCGGTGAGGCGATAAGGTATCACTGCCATCATTATCAGCACATCAGGGTAATGACCAGTTCAGCTGTCACCGGGGTTTTGTGACAATCTTCCATCAGAAATCGGATACAGAAATCCCAGGGCCTAGATTGCTCACATTACAAATTAATTTAAACTTGAGGGCGTTTAACGAAACCTGTCTGATTCCCCGGTGGTTTGCAGCAGTACGACTCTCAAAAGTACATATAAGCCCACCATTACACTTGTTCAACACTTACTTCACACTCGACTAGATTCTGTTCACCGAATCGCAGTTTCAACAGCTCCAAATTACGGAGTTCGCGAGCCGTATGAAAAGATCGTTGCTTCAGGAGACGTTGGCTGAGGAGTTGTTTGTACTCGACCAAAAATGCCTTTTTGCTTCCATAAATGCTGACAAGCATGCTGAGCAAATCCATTCGACGACGCCACAAACCACCCTGATACATGGCTTCAACTGGATCCGGTTGCCAATTGGCTCCCCAAACTGTGGCATCGGGTTCCGATTTGGGCGTATCTGGAACATCGTCGTTCGTCACATGACAATCGGCATCAAACGGTGGATCTGAGTTGCGATGGAGAAAATAAAACGAACAAGTGGTTACTTGAGGCATGCATCAGGTTGTCATAATGATACACTTTAAGTGTGTTTCCGTTGCGGGCAATGTGCAAGTTAACGAGCTCTAAAACACGATACTTGAAAGATAAAGCCAATCACACACGGGGCAGAAGCATGAGGAACGTTAAATTGGTTCCGAGGGGAAGTTATACTTATCCGAAGAGAAATAGACAGATCGATCAGAACTTGTGAACTATAACACCATTCGGAAATTCAACAAGCATTGAAGTCGAGTAGTATAAACTGAATACTATACGCACTACATACATGGATACAATAAAATGAGGAATACACGTTTGACGATAACACAAAATGGTAAACAAGCTTGCCTTCAGTGAATCTTAAGTATGCCATTATAACAGAAAACACAAATCTGAAATTCACGATTGAAAATGAAGCAAACAATAAGGTAGCAGACCTAGGTACTCAACTAGCCCGGCATGATGATGGGTTGATCAGATGGTGAGTAAGCAGGAAGGCGACAAAGAATGGGTAGTATATTCATTTTAGTAGTTTTATACCACTCAGTATACAGAACCCTATAATTTGTACGAGTAGCAGAGCCGTAATGATATGTATGGCGGATAAGCCGGTTGATAAACTTCAAAATGAGCGGAATATCTTCTACCATAATGGATACCCAAGGCATTTGGTGGAATCTATGAAGAAAAGAAACTGGAAATTTCTCAAATGGGCCATTACCGAGAAAAGGTTTCTGTCCATCTATTTACCATTTCAAGATGACATCATGGCAGAGATTGTGCAGAGAGGACCATCATATACCATCAACAAAATATTCCACACGGCAAAGCTCCAAACCCAACTAACATTCAGCCGTTAGCGTATCTGCGGTTGAAGGATGCCCGATCCTGTTGCCTCGTCCTGTATTAACTCTTTCCTTTGCTCCCGTGGGGCAAAGTATACTGGCAGAAAGACTAGGTGTCTGTCCGAGTCCATCAGTATCACCGTGCGTGACTGACAACTGGAGTAAGTAAGCTAATAGCAAGTCCGGTCGTCGCACCTTGTTGACAATAATCACACACGAAACGCGACCTGAGCTTTTCGACCCTCGTTCAGAGTTAAAGCGGGACGCTCTACATAAAGGCGGCTATTTATTTTAGTCGCAGTCTCCTTATATGCGCTCAAAATCAAGTCGTGCAATTCCTCAAGCCGATTTTTTAATTTACCCCGATTCCAACAGTGGTACTCGATGTGGACATATGCCCGTTATTTTAAGATCGGTTTCCATTTGTGTTTCCCTATCGAAAATGCACACATCCGTACCGACAAATTGTTGTCACCTCCTCTCAGTTTCAGTTTAAACAACCATTAAGCATGCATTTCGGTGCGACGCTTTTGGCTGCTGTCTTTTGTTTGGCTGCCCATTTGGGCGAACAATAGGAGGAAAAATGGTTGAGAGTATGATCGAAGAGAAAATTGAGAAATCCAGTGAACTGATGATGCTGAGAAATTGAGATGCATGAACGCCACTGTTTGCGATACCCAACCATATCACTCAGTGTCTCTAACCATCGGTGACCCAAATCCTGAGGTCCCCAGCCAGGGAGCCTAACGGGACCTATGTGACCTAGTCTCCTGGTTAGGGTTTTCATAACCTCATGCCAGGTCTTAGTTTGACCACCCTTATCTTTTCCAACCGCTACCAGCCTTGACAAACATCGCTCGCCGCGGCAACCCATCTGGTGACATGCGTAACACATGCCCCAACCAACGTAATCTATGCAGGTCGATTAATTGCTCCAGTGGACGACCGTGAAGGCCTAAAACTCTACGCCTTACCTCAGCATTGCTCATCCGGTTACCCCACCCGACTTGTGCAATGCGACGTAGACAGCGGTGTTCGAACACCGGTATTCTATTTTTATCCTGTTCCCTTAGTCTCTGCACCGTAGAGCAGGACTGGCGGAACTGCTGCAGCATACACTCGACCCTTCACGGACAGTCTGATGTCGCGACGGCGCCACAAATGCCGATTGAGCCTTTTGTATGCGAGCAGACATTTCATCCATGATGCGTCCACCGGGTGAGACGTAGCTGCCCAAATAAAAATAAATAAATATCTATTTGCTCTAGTACTTCCTCAGTTAGAGTGAGGCTAGGTGCTGCACGAACCCAGTATTGCGGTAGCATTTTACACTTTGAAGGTGCAAAACGCATACCGAATATGGCTACACTAGCACTCAAAACTTCTAGAAAAGCATGCAACTTACCTGGATCTTCAGCAGCACAATTTCGTCTGGATTATCTGGATCAGTCAATCTGCCACGATAAGGAGAAGGCATATATGAACGACATGCGTAACGATGTTAAACGACTATTGATTCACATCAACGCAGAGCTTATTTCCGATGTACGTCAAGACCATTCTGGGCAATTAGAACTGTCGTGAAATGTGGTCAGTGTTGAACCAATTTTGTGGCACATGTGGGAGCTCCTATCGTGACGTGAAAGAACTAAATTGACAATTTGCTGCGTCCTTATGTTCGAACTCTCTACCTCTCTCTTTTGATTCCCCTGAAAACATCAACTCTGTTTCTCCGACCGAGAATCTCAAAATTTTGAAGCAGCTTAAGGCGAGCAAGACCTATAAAAATCCATGTCGAACACCTTAGAACACCAATTGTTGAGTCATTCAACTTGTGTAAGTCCTCCTAAACGATCCCAGAATGTGAAGAATTTTGAAGCGTATGATAAGTGGGAGCCAACAGTTCAGTGATGGATCATTTGTGCACGGAGTTGATTTCTGCCCAAGGCGGAAAACTTTACCTTCGGCAACAACATCGGCATCACTATCTTCGGCACCGTCGACCGGCTCTACTTCTAATGGTTTGGGCAACAACAGTTCCGAGTGAAGCTCAGTGGTTGATCCAACCGGCTCGTCTGTTTCCGCTTCAATTTCGTCTTTGCCCGATTCCGGGGCGGAAATCAACTTATCCACAATGCAACGCACCGCGTCTTCCCGTTGACGCAAACATAGAGAAACGGGCCGACACACAATGTCCTGAGTTAGGTAAGATTTGTCCACAAGACGCAATGCCCGAACCAGATAACTGTATGCGACCAGAATTTGCTCCGTGTGAACCCCAGGGTGCAGCAAACGTTGCTTGACCTAAAAGCAATGTACGAGGATGTATCTGAATGCGTCTTTGTGAAATCGGAGGAAAGATCGATATGGATGACAAGGAAAATATGCACCGACGTGAAGATCAGACAAAAAGCTAGTGAATTAAAGAACGCGATTAGATGTTAAGCGTGTGTTCCTACGCGCAAAGGAAGTGCAGTTCATGAATACCTATATAATCATTACCCAGCTGTTCTAAAACACCCAACGAGTTCAAAATATCAACCAAAGAGCCAACGAGCAAGGTTCCAATGCACTGAATTCATGTTGGGAATAAAACAATTTATTGAACCAGAAAGACAATGGTGGAAGTGGCACACAAAGCTTAATCACAATTGAGGATAGAACCGTTCGGCTAGTACAAACCTGAATGCAATTACTAGTTAACTCATGCAACGTTATGCAAATAATACATACGAGATAAAGGCATGACTTTGCTTTCCATATGGCTATTTGCGACCAGAAAAAGGGATTCTGTATTCCCAAAGAGGGAAAATTTTCGGGAATGTACCTACAACAACGCAATGTGACTAGAAGCGGCACAAGTAGAAAGTTCACTCAGCATTAGTACTTACCGCTGTCATGATTGTGTTCAGATACTGACAAATATTGCCTAGTTTTGGACCCATTTTACCAGTGCAAGCGTACATAAGGAATAATCATTCCCGGAAAACGCTATCACGACAGAGAATAAAGCGTTAAGCGCTGACAAATAGCCGTTATTTCAGTATCCAATAAGACACAAACCTCTTCTGTGAGATGCGCAATTAAATCCCGCCTCACAGATATGTGATCCACACATTTGCCAAGATCCAGTAAAGCGGCAATCGAGTCCGGATATTCAATAATCAACGAGAACAGATCGCTCTTCCGAACCTCGTAGAACACCTCATACACAAGCGAATCAGACAACTGAGGAGATATAAGTGTGACCTGTTTCTCACAATGCTCAAAAACACTCCGGAGCCATAGACCTTTCAAAACTTTCTCTTTATAGTCCAGAATGGCTTCCAAGAAATGTTCCGAGAAGTTGTCTGTGCACAATGTGCTCACCCGAATAGTCAGAGCAGATCGGGCGAAAGGTAGGCAGAGTGGGGTGAAAAACCGTGTCAGCATTAGCGGCTGATTTGCTTGACTCTGAATGCGTGCACATTGTACGGTCTGTTGCTTGAACGTGTCACAAGCCCCCGGTAGAATCGCTGAGAACACATGAAAACAGCCATCTTGCGTCTCCGCCAATTCCAGTTCCAAACGGAGATAAACTTCGAGCAACGCGTGCAGACGAGCACAAAGATCAGCGGGTAGAACAACGCAAGCCAGACAAGTCTGAATTTCGCGCCACAGGGATTTGGGAATTTGCGACGGTTCAAACTGCATCGTCGGACATTTGAATGTGCTCGTCAAAAATTGGTTCACATGGGTGTTGAATTCGATCAACAAGGTTAGGAAACGGTCAAACAGTTTTGTCTCCTCGTTAGTCACGGACAACTGTTTTGATGAGCAGGTATTTGAAAGTTCGTGCTCAAATTGGTTGAGAAAATCGGTGAACAGATTAGCCGCACCGGAGCTTTGTAGATGAAATGTCAAATACTCCAGGAATAGTTGTTTGCATGTGTCTTTTGGTGTAGTCGACGCATCAAACCCGAATACGGCACTGATGGCCTCATGGGCGTTCATTCTCTAGGGGTACAGTCAAATCTAGAATGCAAATCAGATACAATCCAGGGGTAAATAGATCAGTGCTAATAATAATTTCAAGATATCTCATTGGAGTAATAGAACTGACGATTTAAGAAGCAACCCCAACTATGCAAAGATGAAGTATACGTGTTGTGTTTTGATACCAAACTGTTTGTATTTTGAAACAAATCATTCACAAAACTTGTGGTGACACTGAAAGTTATCATCTTTACATCGAGCTTTACGAATCTAGGTTTGAACTGCACCTCCGCCACCATCAAACTTTGCTGTCATGGGCTCACTGCGATCCATCATTCCAGTTTGTTCTTTTTCAGTACACGAAAGGCAGGGTAGCTTCTTTCTGGCCTGTTAGCTGCGTTGAACCACCCGATTGAGAGGTTTTTCTAGTGAAATGGAGCGAAACTGTTAGTCTGTGAGGAGTGGGTGTGCTCATTAGTCATAAGGAGAGTATGGGAAGTTATCAATATCATGTGAAGAGCACAAGGTGAAGCGGACGAATGTTTTCTAAATTTTCTGATCGTATCAGCACAATTTATCAGACGTGAATCCCGGGGAACAGAAAATGATTACAACTTTTCCGTTGGTGTGTAGGTGAGATTGGATTGAATGTGATGCTTTTTCACCACTAAGTCGAACAGGATGGTTAAGTCAAAAATACCAACCGGTTGGTACCATGATAATCAATGCCGTAGTTTGATGTAGGCGAGCTGATACACGAAGTGCAGACGATGAATCACAAAGTTTTAGGTGCAGAGGTCAGGTGTCAAACACTTAACCCCAAAAGTCACAGCCATGGTGAGTTTGCTCATGTTGAAAGGTAGATGAGCCTAAATGCTTGATTCGAGTTTGAGTTGTGTGAGGGAAAGGTTCCATGTTGTCCCTATGATTAAGCCTACTTGTTTGTTCGCATAGACAATTGCTGAGGCGTATGTTCGACAGAATTAATGTCAGACACATCCGAATGAATAAACCATCATAGAATTGAAAGGTTTGACCTTATTCCGCATAAGTATAATTGGGTAACATTAGAACAACGGTGGCTGGACCACACACACACACACACACTTCTTTCATTTGCATGAAGCAGTTCAATCTCGCAACATTTATGTTCGCAAAAAGCATGAAGTGACTAGTCCCGCCGAAAACCAGAAATACCATACCCAAGCACCAAAACGGTTGATCAATGTTGATGAGAAAACCAACTAACCACCGGATGTATATATTTCATTTGTAGACAATAAGCAGAGATGATAAGAGTCGGAAAAAAGTGTGAACGGTATCACAAAAACTGTATTTGGGCTCAGTATAATGTCTCAATCATTCCCATGAACGGCTGATCAGCACGGGCCCATCACCGACCTGTAAGTATGAAATAAAGAAAAAGCAGGAACAAAAGTCAATCATTGACGGGACGATTATAGTAATCAAAAAAGTCAACGTCAAATGAAATTAAGACTGTTTAAATGCAAAAAACATGGTTTGACTTGCACCTGGGGATTACATCTGGAACACCAAACACTGATGAGGTTCTTCAAACCCTCCGCATCACCGCTGATGTGTCGTAATGGATGTTTGTCGTAGAAAACGCGTAACACTTCAATATGCCGAAGTTAGTACTGCAATAGCAATCCACATAATCTACAGGAGCGTATAAACGAGACAAATAAACTAAAAAGGGGAAGGATGAGTACCTCCCAGACTGGGGGTCTGAAACATTATGTAATTGAAGGGTCATGCAAGAGAGCTGAAGGCGGCAACAGTTTTGAGGGCAACTCACAGCAAATCAAATTAAATCCGAAAGACTGTTAGGTAATAAAATTTGTCCGTTCTACTTCAGTACCTCACTCCCAGTAATGCCAATACCTATTCGCGATGCGTATTAATCCTTCATGTGACCTGAGATCTTGACATACCTCGCAAGCCCACATTGTCGGAAACGTTGTTAATCGTCAATCTTACGGTTTCAATAACTGCCACACACGATGCTATATATATTTCGTTTGTGGAACGTTTCTACGAAAGTAGAAAATTGATTCCGGGCAACATTTTGTGTGACTACCGAATCGCTGTGGTCTGAATGCGAATTGATGAAATGAATAAGAAGCAGGCCGTGGTAACGACAATCGAAGCTGCAGATCCTAGGTCACTTAACTCAACTGTAAGCTCTCGTTATTACGGTACATATTGGTCCTACTGTTTATTACCCTGGAGTTCATACTGATAATTTGTTTATCTTTATTTAAATTATACAGTTTTCGGCTTTATCCAGGTATGAACCAGGCTATTATTACTAAACTAAACTATGATTATTGCACTGACATAAAAACTCGACTCGCAGGAAAACGCAGATCTAATGTTTTTATTAATTAATGAAATTTTTACCTGAAGACAAACCATTTGCATTGGATATTTCACAAAATGTTCAGCACGGATTCAAATACATATGGAAAATCCCGGGTGGTGAAACCCGCATCCAAAACCATAAAATGACAGACAACACACAATATCTGATGCCCGCGAAAATCGAATGGGGCAATTAAAGCAAAACATGCTAAAAGTATCAATACACCATCTGTCGCGCAACTAATGCGACGGCCGGTATTTACTGCAGAACGGTAGATTTTCATCTGAACATTTTGCCAGACTGACTGCTTTCGTTAATCAGTAAAACATTTCATCAACTTGAAAAATAAACGAACCATATTTGTTGCAAGTTAACCCAAAAAGGAAGCTGGTTAATCCACCATTCCTTACGACTGAAATCCCTTTGTGTGTACTATTCATGACTGCTAGAGATGTCATCAATGACCTCAATCGCAAATTTAGCAAATAAAACATTCTGTTTTAACGTGTTCTGCTGAACACTACAACTGCCCGTGAATCGGTGTTGTAGTACATGTTGTTCTTGACTGGTAATCATGCGCTTAGATCTACGTCGAATTTCATCCCTATTTAATGGAGTCTATGAGACCCGAAATTGAAGTGGACCTCGTTCCGTGCTTGCAACCGTTTCCCGAATGTGAATGAGAAGATAGATAGTTTCACACCCGCATTTGGTGGCTAACAATCCGATTGAAGACCAACGAGCTTTTCCTGTGCAGTAACCCGAGTAACTATTACTTTGTGAAACACACGTGATTTGGCGTTCGCAAAGTTCCACAATGAGGTGACTCGGCTTCTATAAAGTGATGACTCCTGTTGGTGGACGTTTTCGTCTATGCACATGATCCCCAAATCAACTAAATCCTTCAAAGGTTAATATTTACAACTTGTGTAATTATCCTGGATATACGTTTTTCACTTGAGCACACCACTCTTTCAATTATGAATTTGGACCGAAAATGCAAAATAAAAGAGCTTCTTATAATGATGGTCTTATTGATTTTCATCGGTACATTGGGGAAGAGCTGAGAGAAATATAAAGTGACAACTTACTTGAGTGCTGATGACATAAGAAATGGCCCCATTCAAACGGGGTATCGATTCAAGTAATTCCTAAAAAATGTAAAAATACATTGGTGAAATGATAAAGAGGTGCTTGAAATGCCGAAAGATGCTCAATCACTGAAGTGATTGACATTGCCGAATGGAAAACTTTCTACATTACATTTATGGAGAAAAGTTTACAGAACGGTCAGGTAAATGGTTACATAAGTCAATATGCATCGGTTGTCTCCGAACTTGAGATTTCCAGTTTAACCATGGATACCAAAGACATCTAACAACCAAGAAATAGCTAACATTACATTTGGATATCTGAAACCGATCCATCTATCCAACCATCTCTCTCTTTATATAATATATATATATATATACTGGGATCATAGTAATGAATGGTTAGAGACCCTGAGTGAAATGGTTGTGTCGTAAACTGTGGCGTTCATACATGTTCTCAATGTCTTTGTAAGTTTAATTTTTAGGAATCTTCCATTTCCACCCTGATAACGATTTGAACATTCCAATCTTTCTTTTACCCCTTCATCCAAATGGTATGTCGTGAGACAGCAATCAAATGAGGCGCACGAAAATGCATGCTTCAAGGTTGTAAAAGCTGAGCTGAACTGAACAAATCAATTCCGCTGTACTGATGCGTGCATTTATGCGGTTATTATAACACACAGTGGCGAGATAATCCAGGGCTAACCCAATGAACACGTTACTATGACTGAATTGGGAATGACAGCTACGGAAGAACACATTGCTTCACTTACACCTGTGGACGGAAGCACAACAGTCCACTTAGTAAACAATGTGAGCCCTATAGAATATAACATTCTCGTATCCCGGAATTTATCGATAAGTCGTCAAAGTAACTATGGGTTGAGAAAACAACAGGAAGAGAACAAAAAGCTATCGGTTTTGTATAGGCAGGGGGTAATAAAACAGTGGATGCATTGCATAAAAACCAAGGCATCATAAACCAGCACCTCGGATTGGCACAGAGAAGGATGGAATCACGTACGACAAAACGACTGCATGAAAATAATTAGGGTTACCAACAGAAATGGTGCAAGCTACTCGCAATGGATACTGTTCTAAAATAGAGTATAACTTTGTTATTATTGAAAGACGATTTTACGACGATTACATTTCAAACTGAGCCTAACTCAACAATCTCTCGTGAAATTATCAATACGAACACACACGCCTAGTTTTATTGAACTGGAGAAAAATGTTTGGTTCTAATCTATGTAAACTCTATGGAAAACAACAACATTGACGCAAATTTCGGGTGGAATAAAAGGGCGTTTTCGCTGTCTTAAAGAGAGAAAAAAACTATCACGAACAGCAATCATCAATGAGCAGTACTGTAATTACAAACTAGAGGAAGTGCAACTCAGAAACGATGTACGCTCATGAGGGGAGGGACATAAAGGAGAATAGATTAAACTACTATGGTCTAGCTCAAAACGTCGGTTACCAATACCCCTGGGGTACAGAGATAGGACAATGAGCGTCGTCTTACAGTCCACGAGATTGAGATCTAAGCGATGAAAAATTACCATGAATCAAAGTGATTCATTGTATCCAATGACTGAGGTGGGGCAAAGAAGAGACCGAGGAAGACATTGGAATCTAAACCATGGTGACAAAACTATACACTTTCGAACAAATAAGGTGAGGAACTTTTGTGCGACTCAGGGCGCGCCATTAATATAGGCATTACGATAATATTCAATCAAATGATAAGACACTAGAGGGGTCGGTTCGCAAGTTCCCTTGGTACTAATGGAGTCAAAGTGGTTGTGAACATTTGCCACGAAAAAGGGATATACTCTGTCATTCTTGTGTCTATCTAATACTGTCACACTTTCACCCATATAATTTTGTGTCCGAATGCAAAAGGATTTGACGAGAAATGGGGTGGACACAAATAATATGTTAATATAAACAACAGGGATGGTAGCGCGAATGCTTGTTTGTATTATCAAATCATTGAAACCACTGACAGAGTAAAAAACATGTGGGGATATGAATATTGATGAAAGACTGCAAACACTATTTGTCGAGAGGACTGAAAAAGAACATCATTGGAAAACAAAGCGAGGGGAAAACATCTGTTCACATGCAAATCTTCGCTTTGGTTGAGAGAGATTGTTCATTGTCTGCGGAGGAAGCCCCTAACTACAAATAACAGTAGCTGAATGTTCATCCTCCACAGGGCAAATGAAAACGGCTCCCCGGCTTGACTTTACCTAATAGGGTTAGTCTAAGTAACAAGCACGTCTGAACTGGTTCTTTTGCCTGCTTGA